GAGCCAGTCTAGGTCAGGGCACTTAATGGCTCAAGGTCTTTTGCTTAGTTATGTGGTCCTGGCCCCTGGCAAGGAGCAGTCTAAGATATTCATTTCAATGCTTCACATACCTCTGTCGGTTAGCAGCTTTATTTCATGGAAAGAGTGAGGACACTGGCTATAGCCCCTGGGCCTCCAGGAAGATGTTGGTATTTGTCTGTTTGCCGCTTGTGTTCTGCAGTTGGACACTTGGATTCCTCTGTGCGCAGCAGGATTTGCCAAGAAGCTGGGAGAGCCCTGGCCGGGTGGCTCAGTTGGTTGGAGAGTCATCCCGTACATCAAAAGGTGTACGGTCTGGGTGAGTACAGGAGGTAACCAAACCATGTTTCTCTCTCACATCCATGTTTCTCTCCCTCTCTAAAAAAAAATCAATAAACACATCCGAGGATTTAAAAAAAAATGCTGAGAAATCTCAGCTGGTAGAGTTGGGTGATCCTAGTATCTTTGAAACTCCAGTTGGGGTGACTCCCGCTCACAGGGCAGTCATGTTGTATATCGAGCACTGGGTGATGAGCCTGATTATAATAATAACAACCAAAGCAAACATTTACTGAGGACTTGACTAAACTCTAGGCAGGGTGCAGTGTTTGCCATTGCATTTCACATAATCCCCCCAATAGCCCCCATGAAGGAGGCATCCTTACCACTCCCCTCATACAGAAAAGTTAAGTGGTTCATCCACAGGTCATATAGTAGTGGAGCTGGGCTTTGAACCCAGGCAGTAGAACTCTAGGAGTACACTCCTAGTCCCCGTGGTGATTTGCCTTCTTGTCCTTAAAGGGTTCTGGTGACAAATGTTTAATGAGTGGTCCATGGCCAAGATTAGGCTGAGGTGAGTGAGACATTCAACTCAGGCACAAAATTTCAGAAGGCCCCAAAAACTCAGTAATCAAGATAAAGAAATAAATATCATTTAATGGGTTTTTAAAAATATATTGAATATACTTAGTAAACAGTGTCTTAATTAAATATCTTTTAAAAAATCTAAACGAGTGACAAAAAATTCAAGATGAACAAAATATCAAAATTTTAAATAAAAACAGGATCTAGATTTCTGATTTTCCTTTAGCCTCAGGCTCAGCTCAGCATAGTGCTGTTACTGATCCTGTCTCTCAGGTTTCTGGGCCAGGCAACTAATGATGGAAAGTTCAAGAGAAGCAGTAGTTGGCTTGTTCTAATGGGGGTGGAGGGTGAGAGAACTGGGTTTGAACATAATGAGTTAGAGGTGTCTGTGGGACATCCAGGTGGCCGTGTCTGAGAACTCAGTCAGGTGATGAGGGATAGCAGGGTGGGTGGGGCACCCTTATTTCATATGCTTGGCCCACGAGAGGTGTGTGCTCAGCACATGTGGTCTAAATCACTGGTCCTCAGAGTTTGCATCATGGTTCAGGAATCTTTGCAAATTTTCTCATCCAAAGTTTTCCTCTTCTTTCCCAAACCTTCTACATCACAAACCTCAGCTATGTTCCCATATGGGTGTGGAAGTTTACTGCTTGGGTGTTAAAATAAAAACATCTTCTGAGAAGATTAAAAACAACTAAATTCCACTAGAATTTGGGAGTGGGGCATGAAGGAAAAAGACAAGAATTAATATAAATTGGCTCGGTTTCCTCTTTATTAACTGATCCTCCAGAAAAAGAAGAGGAGCTAAGAGGAACTAAAGAGGAGAAAGGTTGTAGGAAAGGAAAAAAGAAAGAAGAAACATTATAGGAGCTAAAAATACAGTGAGGAGAGCTTGGCTAAGCATCAAAGAAGGGCAGATGTGTTTCCAAATAGAAGCGGTGGTTTAGAGATGTCAGGAAGCACAGCTCCAAATGATGGGTGGAAAATAAAAGTTATTTAGACTGAGCTCAGCAGAATAAAAAAGGTTCAATGGCGAATCAAACTGAGGAACAGGCCTCTGAGCAATATGGGAGCCCTACTGCCTCAATCCCAAGTTCATGAATCAAGTGTTGGCACCAACAATGGAAACTTGCCATGGTGTCAGAACCCTGAACCAAAGGGAGTCTTTCCATCTTCACTTTGTAATACTGAACCACCTTTGACGGAACAACTTCTATTAAAGACTAGTCACTTTCCTTAGCATACCCTTGGGTACCTGCTTCCCTTTCCATCTAATGAAGCACGAACCACGCTCATAACCAGGGGGAAATGTTCCTCCTGTAAATATACCGCTTCTGTGAAGTCGATGAATCTGACAAACGCTTAGTGAAGATGGTTCACAGGAAAAGAAATGTCGGGATACTCAAGACAGATCAGAGTCACTCCCCACTTCAAGGGGCTCGTTGCTTGGCCAGAGGATGGGCAAGAAGGACCTGAGACAAAGTCCACATCAAATGTTGGGTTGCATCACTTAGACCATGGGCAGCAGGGGCTCAAGAAAGAGTCAGACGGGTAAATGGGCCACAATATTAATAATGTTAATAAGAACAGTATTTATTGAGTGCTTATTATGTGCCAAGAGCCATGCCAAGTGTTTAGCGTGCATTGCCCCATTTCATCCCAGTGATCCTGGAGTAGGCACTATGACTATCCTCATTTCACCGTTGAGGGAAATAAGGTTCAGGGATGCGAATCCACTTGCCCATAGAAAGATGGATCTGGGATGCCGACTCAGGCAGACCAACTCCTCGGCCCAGAGGAAGTCTCGTGACCAGGATAGGACTAGAACTGGGCCCGGGTGTGGGATGTGGATGGGCTGACCAGACAGAGGCAAAGCGTCACAGTAATAGCTGGGGAAGAGCACAGCAAGAGCAACGGTGGCGCGGTGTACACCTTGGTTGTGCCCAGCCTTTGCTGGTTACTAGCTTTGGGGCATGGTTCTTGAGCAACTTGTGCCTCAGTTTCTTCATCTGTACAGTAGGGATGGTAACGGTATCCAAACTCGTAAGACTGTTGGTATCATTTCATGAGATGATGCCTGTAAAGTGTCTGAAACGGTGCTTGGCCTATAGTAAGCATTCAATAAATACAGAATCTACTGACATGGGAGAACTGCACAGGCCGAATTACACCGTGTTATTTCTAAGGAACATCAGGGTCTCTTGTTGGGGTAGAGTCAATTGAAGGGAGAGAAGGCAGAATTTGGTGGAATTTGAAGAGTGTGTGTATCAGCAGCCGTCCACGTGAACAGGAGATTGAGCGTACTCCTCGGAGCCAGAGCAATGTCATTGAGTGAAAGGCTAGGGAAGTGAATACAACAGGTGAATGAATGGGAAGGCCAATCTCAAGGTGGGGAAGGAGAGAAGAGAAACAGAAGAGCTACTCCCAGGATGCCTTTCTTGTCCGACTTTTCCCTTCTGTCCCTGCCCTGCAGAATAAAGGGAGACAGTAGCTCAAGAGCCTGGTGCCACCTCGCTGGGATTCTCCGGCTTTGAAGGGATGCTTGCCTGCGCAGTCTCCAGACGTTCGCAAACCCTTCCCAAAGACAAGCCCTTTCCAACGCCCTGCTCTAAAACTGACCCACCTCTCTGGAGGTGAGGCCAGGGCTCGCCTCTGAATGGGCCCCATTGTCCTCGCAAGCGCCTGTGGGTCCAGATGCCGTCGGCCTGGAGGTGGTTCTACCACGGCTTGCGGTGCGGTCTGCCTTCAGACTTTGATTCACTCCAGGGACAACACTCGAAAAAATCAAACAGGCAACACATGCAATTCCAGGAACGCCTGCCAGGCTCACACTCTGTTTTTCCATCATTTCGCTCTCCTCCCCCTCGGGAGGGAGCCTCCTTTGGCATTTTGTGTATGAAAAATCGAAACCACCAACAGGACAAGCACCTGATAAGGAGCTAGGCATTGCCCAAGAGTTCCCAGGAAGAGGCGCCTTTGTTCTCGTTTCAAGCCCTTGACACTGCTAACAGCTCTAATTACTGCATTTGCCATGGGATGTAAAATAAAACCACATTCCAGAAACCATGTAGTCTCCCGGGGAGAGACACGAAGGGAGAGGTGCCCAGGGCTGCAGGAACGTGTTCTTTCATTTCTGGTCCCTAACCTTGGCAGCTATTCTGAGAATCCAACAGTACCTTCTTTATGTGCACGAAGGGCACTTTTGCACATGTAAGAATGCATCTCACTACCTGTATCCACAAATCTGGTCTGCATATTTGACTGCGTGGCGTGCAAGGCATACTTCTTCAGAACGTTCGGACCTTCCGAATTCACTCAAGCCACTTTTGGGGGAAATGAGGACTTCAGAAGTCCCTGAGGCTGTAAACCCAACAAAATAGAACTTCTTCCAACTTAATTTAACTATAAAATTAGATGATGTAACACCCACCTACACCCACATCACAAAACAAAGTGACATCACAAATACTAGAGATAGTGGTTCAAAACTGCCTGTATGTGAGCCAAAATCTAAACAAACTGCAATTTGCCCGTACGTGACTGAGGCAGAGAAAGATAGGTGACTAGAGCTATCCAAAAAAATAAAATAAGAGAGAGAGAGGGAAAAAGGAAAAGAAAATACATATTTTTTCCCCCTACTAAGCTAGCTAAAATAAAATTTAAGGCAACAGAAATATGGTAAGGTGATTTTATTTTTTATAGATGACATTTCTTAGAAAGCTAGGTTTCTCTCAATGTGTGATTCTGATCTATCCAGATTGCTCTCTTGCTCTTGGCTGGTCCCAGGAAATGGAGGCCAGCTTCCTTTACCTCTGCTTGTGCCTTTATGGACTCCAGCGTGTAGGTCCCTATTTAGTAGCTTTTCTTGGCTCACGGCAGTCTGGTTAGAAAGTGTGCTCGGGGTTTGGCAGGACTTTACCTGCTGTCATTTCTGTGAGGCAACATGGTTGAGGAGTGACTACAGCTCCTATAGGAATCTCGAGTGGTCCTCTCTGCCACCCTTTTCCTGCCCCTTTCCAGCAGGTAGCAATTGTTTTGATTCGTTGTAAAGCTCCCTGACCCTCCACTTCCAGCCCTAGCCTGCTGTGCTCTTTGAGAGGCTGAGTATCACCGTGACCATGGTACAGAAGGCTTTGGTGAGCAGGAGAGAGTATGTGTAGAACGATTTTTAAGATGGGTGTGGAAGAAATAGTCTCTAAAAAGATGTTAATACTTTACCTCCAAAATAGACCTTCTGGTCTCTGCTTGAGAATTGGTCTTTTTTGTTCCCCTTTCCCTTCCTTATGATTCTAGCATCCAATCTATGTGAGACGAGACCCCAGCATCCCCACCTATGGACTCCGACAGTCTATCTTACTGAACTCCAGGCTTCAGGACTGCTACGTGGATTCGCCAACTCTCACCAACATCTGGACAGCAAGGACATGTGCAAAGCAGAACAGCAATGCCCCAGCACCAGGTACCACCTCCTCTTGGGAAGTTGTAAAGAACCCGTTCATTGCCAGTTCGCTCTCCCTGGTCAAGCTGGTGCTCAGGCGACAACTGAAGGATAAATGCTGCCCAGTACCATGCAAGTTTGGAGAAGCAAAACCCTCAAAGGGATTAAAGCCCAAGGATGATTCAGCAATGAAAGCCACCCGGCGGGGCAGGATAAGAAACTCCATCAGGTCCAAGAGCAAGCAGCCCGTGGGGCAGCAGCTGGGCTCACCTAGGCGCAGGAGGCCTGCAGGAGGCATCAGCGAGGTAGATGATGGCTGGTGGTGGAGAAAACGTGAGGGGGTGGGGAGAGGGAAATGTCATCTAGAGAACACTTAACGCTTAAGAGGTTTATATGAAGAGAAGGAGATCCTAAAGTTGAAGACAGGATTGAGGGAGGTGGGGTGGGGAGTGGGGAGCAGCAGGATACGTGGAGAGAGCACCAGAGCATGTTATTTATGTTCTGCCTACACCCTGACTGCTAGGATTGACTATCTGTAGGAGGGTGAAGTGGCTCTCATAAACACAGATGAAAGGAGCTTGGCATGAAGGGAAAGTGAGGGTGGGAAAGGCCAGGCTACGGTTAGAGCACACAGGCATGCACACTGGAACAGCAGAGGTGACCACGGCCTGGCTCTGAACTTCCATGGAGAACCTGGCTTCTAGAGGCCTGATCGGAGTCTAGCTCCAGCACTCATGGTGGCCTGCAGAGCTCAGAATGCGCCCTGGAGCTAGCATGTTGGGTTCAAAATCCCAGCTTTGACTATAATTAAGGCCAAAGGTGGGCTTAGCCTCTTTCTGCCTTGGTTTTTGTCATCTATAAAATGGGGGATAATAGCCCTTTCCTCATGGGGTTTTGTGAGGATTAAATGAGTAAATACATGCAAAGGGCTTTTGAGCAGAGCCTGGCACAGACTAAATGCTTAGGATCCTGTGTGGCATTCAACAGACGACAACTGTGGTTATTAACTTTCTAGCTGTGTGGCCTTGGGCAAACCAATTCCAGTTTCCTTGCCTTTAAAGCTGTCTCCTGCTGACCTTACAGGGTTATGGGGAACGCACGCAGTGGTATACATGAAGGAATTCAGTAAACTAGAACACACTAGACAAATGTTGGTTGTGGCTGTAACCAAGACTCTGGGACACAAATCCCAGATAATTATTCTGAGCTCCCTTCTCAAGTTTTAGCTTTGACTTCTCTGCTTTCTTCCTGGCTAGAGTAAAGAAAGTTCAAAGGAGAAAAAAGTAACAGTCAGCCAAGATCTTGAGAACAGATATGCTGAACATGTGGCTGCCACCCAAGCGCTACGCAGGGACATTGGGACAGCAGCCTGGAAGGGCCAGGCGTTGCTTCCTGAAGCCAGAAAGAGACAGCAGTTGTCAGACATGCTAACCATCCACGGCCTCCCCACAGAGGGTTACCGGGCTCTGTACCACGCTGTGGTCGAGCCAATGCTGTGGAATCCTTCAGGGACCCCCAAGAGGTACAGCTTGGAGCTGGGCAAGGCCATCAAACAAAAGCTCTGGGAGGCTCTGTGCAGCCAGGCTGCCACCCCCTAAGGTGCTCAGAAGGACCCGCTGCTGGGCAGGACGTGGCTGGAGGTCGACAAGGAGCCTGTGCCCAAGAAATGGCCCAAGTTAAAGAGAGAGAAATAGAAACAGGAACTCACCGGATGAGGCTATTCTCTGCTAGATGTCTAAAAAATAAACACCACATTGCACCTTTCATGCTATTTTGAGTGCTCTACCAATCAGTAACCACCCTCCCTGGGAAACATGACAAATGGGTACGAGATTCATTTCAGATGAAGGACCCCCTCCACTCTCATGAGCAGACCATTTTGAGGGCTAGATGCTTGGGGCTTTTTTCCTACAAGCCCCTTTCCCTTGGGGTTTGAGGGTCTCTCAGCCTCCCAGGTAGGAAAAATCCTGGCAGATGAAGCCAATGGTTTACATCAGCCTATGTTCCCAGTTTTTAAAAAGTGGACTGCTAGGACTATCACTTCCCTCCCTCCATCCCTCCACACAGGGGTGAGTAGAAAAACTACCGTCACCTGAAGGACATAATCCCACACACACTCTATTGGATGCTCTCCCGTGACGCCACCTAAATCCCCAATAACCTGAACTCTACGTTAACAGGAGAGGAAATTATATGGGTGCTCCCATGAGTGGGCTGAAGTTAAGGCACCGCTTCACGCAAACCTCTCCTTTGTGGAATGTGTAGACCTTTACCAAACAGAGCAATGACAACATATAACACGTACTTGATAAAATTGTATTTTTTTTACAGTCATTTGTACAATTTGTTACAAAACCATAGAAGACTACAACTTGTTTTAAATCATTTTTGGTCGGCAAATATGTAAAATCTGTGTGCAATTATCATGTATTTACAGGGCCTCATGTTAGTCATTTTCAATGATTATTCCAACAATGTCACACTCTCAACATAAGACATGGCTTAAGATAAATATATTAGTAAATAAATATTCTGAGAACATATTTCCATAAATGAAATGTGCTGCTATACATATACAGAATATACATAAGTTGTTTTCTAGCCTTTAAAACATTTTTTAAAAATGGTAATGTTGGAGAAGGAGCCCTTAAACCATTTTATTACAAAATCTTTACAGCAAAGTCTTTACAAAATATCTTTTAAGTGCTATGGGAGAAATTTTTTAAAAACATTTTAAAATAGTGCCTTGTTAGACCAACACAATAGAGTTTATATAAAGAATAGAAAAAGGCAGTTCTGTTTAAAAAATAATACTCTTGATTAGTAATTATTTTTTAGACCTCATTTTAAAAGCATTAGTCCTGCAGGAACTTTGAGTAGAAACTAGCAGCACAAAAGGGAGGGTCTGAGCAGTGGGACAGCAGATGGGGCTTTAAAAAATGGCTTGGGTTCAGAGGAGAGGGGGCAGAGACTGAGTTAAAGCCAGCATACTGGGGCAGTGTCTACAAAGAGGTACCTTGTTGATCAAAACTCCCAACCCCCCATTTGGACTGGTTCTAGCCCTCTTCAGTTTACATGGCTGTCACGTGAGGGCTGGGCCACGGAACCACACCCAAAGGTCACACCCCGGCTGGGGTGGGGGGTGAGGACAGATGTTCTCAATGGAAAATGTGATGCTCCCAGTTTCCACAGCTACATAAGCCCCACACGCCACTAAGAGGTCACCAGAAAAGGTACTTATCAAGATTGGAGTCTTACAACTTCACAGAAGGTATTTTGATTTCAACGGTGAGGCAGTAATATAGTTGGTTATACTCTATTCTGGTGACCTTCCTGTCTGATAAGCCAACACAAATTTAAGACAGTGGCTGATATTCAAAGTTTCAAAATTTCATTTTTCTGTTCCTACCACCCTGTAAACTACCAACATTAAATGTGCTTCTTTTGCCATCTGTAGCTTTTGTTCTTTGAAATGAAAATTGGACGCATTTATTTTAATAAGCCCAGTTGAAGCCACATTCTTTACTCATCTATTCATTGCTTAAGGCTCTTGAGGAGGGGTTTTTCCCAGCTGGGGCTAAAGAAAGCCACTTTGGGGGTATGGTTTCAGACAAGGAAGACAATATGCATTCAAAGGCATTAAAAACAAACAAAACCACAAACAACAACAAAAAAATCTAAACAATGAGAAGCTGCTTTTTGCAGTTCATGTTAAAAGCCATACCCTCAACCCCCCTTCCCCAAAACCACGTAATGCAAGCTGTTGTCCTCAGCAGCTGCTAGTCCTGGCCCGAGAAATAAAGGCGGCCCAGATCACATGTCAACAGCTTAGGCGCTTCTCACACCCTCGCCAACAGGTGTGCTGGGCACAGGCCTGGGGGGGAACCACCCCCAAGGGACTGCACCTTAAAGGCTGGAGGACAAATCTCACCAAATGGCAAACGGGTAAGTTTCTAAATGGCAAATGGCTCAATCATCTGACACTGGAATTTCCTTCTGTCAAATCCTGGCTAGAAGTAAGTAAATTTCCTCATCACAGGCCGCGGTTTTTAAGAAAAAGGGATTCTGATACAGTGAGATTCTCATTCAGAATGTTCTGGTCTGGGCCCTGGGCTGACTACCCCCAGCCTTACTGGAGAGGAGTAATCACAGTCTCCTGGCAACCCAGGGTGGCCTCTATTTCCCCACCTATAGGGGGCCAGCTCCCAGGGTTCCTATTTCACAAAGGAGCTTTTCAGGTGGCACCAACTATCTGCTGAATAAATGAATAAACATAAGTGACCAGAAGAGTTAGTGAACACAGGGCTAATGTGATTAGTTTCTTCTAGAAAAAATTTTTTTAAAAAAAACAAGAAATACACTGGACAAAAAGGATGACAATCCCTGATCTGAAATAGCTTTAAATAGATTCTCCCCTTTATAATGGAAACATCGTTTAAAAAATGGGTTGGGTTTTTTAAACTCTCCCTCCCTCTTAAAAAAATAACTAAAGGCTGGAAAAATATACAAAAAACCTACCCTTTGGGTCTAAACTATCTGATAGTCTCTTTCTCTGTCTCATGGAGAATCAATACATAATAGTGCATTAGGTAGAAAGGATAGTAGACATTTGCAGGCGAGATGAGCAACTTCAGCCATGAGCAGAGAGCTGAATAACCCTGAAGCAGTGCTTCCATAGGGAAATGGATGGGAAATGCATCATTCAAATGAAGCTTGGTGCAGACCCGACGGGGTCCTGGCCATGAGCCCCCAGGAAGGCAGCCCAAGGATGCAGCAGGTCCGGGGCGCCCTGGGGGTCCCCAGCCCCTTCAGACACCAAAGCCGCAAACTACATTCCTCCTGGGTGTTTGTCCCCACATACCCCGTCAAACCATTTTTGTAGCCAGTGGCAGGAAGCCCAAGATCATGACTGTGAACTCTGTCCTTTACTTCAGGATGATTCCAGAGGACAGACTGAGGACACTGGGCAGAGCCGTCCCTGTCACCCTGGGGCTTCCGCAGCAATAGCTTGTCCCAGCTCCCCAGTGCTGCAGACTTTCTACCCTATTTCCAGCTGTTCCCATCAGCTGCCTACAGGTGTGGGCTGGGGAAACATGGCTTCTAAGAAGACCTGACATTCTGTACGTTGGGATTTGCCATGAGAAAGAGGCAGCATTGCATCGTTCCTCAGAGTTTGTACCCATATCGACTAGCTTTACTTCAAGTTTCTGGTTCATTTTCTAAGGCAGGTGTAGCCCTGAGCTTTTCAAAGGCCTGAGCTCCCTCCAGGGAGACAACAGTATCTACACATGATGTGGTTCAATTAATGCAGCAGTGATTTTTCTTTTCAGCAAAAGTTGGCGGTTAGGGTTCTTTAAAATATATATATTTAAATAACTTTTTACATTTACATATAATATCTTAAAAAACAAAGCCGAGAACTCAATCCCACACACCTTGGAACCCCAAGCACACACACTTTACAAAACAGAGTAACATGTTATCAAGAGGCAAAGACTCAGAGAATTTTGTCTGTTGGTTTGTTAATGGGAGGGGGGTTGCCACAAGGGGCTCACATTTTGGGTTGAGGAGGGCTCTCTTTATTACCACTTTTGTGTGTTTGTCAAAGCTAAAAAAATTTTCTTTTTTTAAAAATTTCTGAAGAAGTCAGAGTTTGGAGTCTCCGTACAGTTCCCATTTCCACATAGTTCCTTCTGGGCTCACGCTCCTGTGCCGCTGCTGTCTGCTGGGCGAGATCTCTGTCCTGGGAGAGAGAGAACAATCATCAGGAGGGAGCCAGCACCGGGGCTTCGGGCACAATGCACAGGGACCAGGCAAGGGGACGTGGGTGTCCACCCCCGGTATGTGGCAGGCTCTCAGGAGGTGCCAGGTCACAGCACTGGACGGACTGTGCATATGGTAAAAAGCAGAACTCATTCTGTGCTGAGAGCACAGGTGCCTCCTAGAAAGCGAGCCTCCCTCATCTAGACCTACAGAACCTTCTGGAAGCCCTTAGGTAGCATGGAAACACAATGCACAGATGTGTACCAGGCACTGTTGCAGGCGCCGGGAAGAGCAGGGGAGAAGACACCTCGCCTCCCACAGAGCTTACAGGCCTCAAAACAAAGTGATTTTAGGTTGTGATGACCTGGGAGGGAAACAAGGTGTGAGAGTAATCTCAGGGGTAGCTGGAGGGAGCCATTTAAGCTGAGATCTGGGGGAGAGAAGCAGCAGAGAGGTCTGGAGGCTGGAATGAGCTAGAGGAATGTCGGAGGAAAGGATGGAAGCCATGGGGCTACAATTTCAAAAGTCCAAGGTCATGGCAAGTCATTAAAGGGGTTTCTAGTGCAAACACAGACTTATGTTCAAAAAAGACCACTCTGGCCCTGGCCGGGTAGCTCCATTGGTTAAAGCACAGTCCCGATACACCAAGACTGCAGGTTCGATCCCCAGTCAAGGCACGTACAAGAATCAACCAATGGCCCGGCCGGGCGTGGCCCAGCAGTTGAGCATTGCCCTGGGATCCCGGGCTCGATCCCCAGTCAGAGGCATGCAGGAGGCGGCTGATCAATGACTCTCTCATCATTGATGTTTCTCTCTCTCTCTCTCTCCCTCTCCCTTCCTCTCTCTGAAATCGAGATATATTTTTTTAAAAAGAAATCAACCAATGAGTGCATAAATAAGTGGAACAACAGATGACTGTTTCTCCAAAAAAAATTAGAAAAAGTAGGAAAAAAAAGACCACTTCAACTCCCATGCAGAATAGAGGGCAAGACCAGCAACAGGAGACCAGTCAGGCGGCTACTGCCTTCACCCTGGGGAGAGGGTAGCGCCTGACTGAGGGGACAGAGGTGGGGATGCAGAGGAGACAAATACAGGGTATACGCTGGAGGTGGAACTCACCACAGTCCTACTCAAAGATGCTGGATTGCATTGTTTATTACTGAGACAGAATGTTTGGAAACTTTATAGCAATCTGACGATGTCAGCTGAATCTAATACTAAGAATTCTGGAGTTGGATTTAACGCATCTTTCGCGAAGTTTCATTTTTCTGGGAATTAGATTTTCTGAACAATTCTCACAGACAGGCTGACAGGCCCAGGACACAAGTGTGAGGGGCAGGGCTGGCTCAGGGATAGATGGTGCCTGAGCTATGGGTGGAGAGCCTTGAAGAAGGGGGTGCAGAGGGAGGAATTTGAGAGGGCTGCTGTGGACATGACAGGCTGGGATGCTTGTGTGGCATCTGGGGGCAGATCCTGGAAGCAAAGGGCCCAATGGGTCTGGAACTCAGAGGAAGGGCTGAGTTGGGGAGTAATATTGAAGTCATTAGGTACAGATAGTGTTTCAATTCAATGGCACAAAGGGAGACCCTTAGAAAAAGACTGCGGAGAGAGAAGAGGACCCTGGCTCTGGCCTACTGTCATCTCCTGCTCTCACCTGCAGCCTCAGTGGCTGTGGCCTTGGACTCCTGAGTGTCCTGGGAGGCACTGGGGAAGCTGGCCCTGGCAGCCCCTGCCTCCTCCAGAGGGCAGATAGGTGGCAGTGGTGCCCTGGGCTGGCAGCACAGAACCCGCTCTTCTTCCTGGGCTACTCCCAGGCTCCTGTGGGGCTGCAGGGTGTCAGGGCCCAGCATCCCACCCCAGGGGCTGAGGCCATGGGTCCCTTGGCAGTCTGAGGGCAGGCCCAAGTCACAGTCCACATCCTCTGGAATGATGGGGATGCGCTGGCTCAAGTCCCGGGCTCCTGGGTGGCAGCTGGGTGGGGGCTCTTGGGCAAGCGTGTACTGCACGCTCACAGAGCAGTCCTCAGTGTAGCAGCCGCTGCCCCCTCCGCTGCCGTGGGCCACCTGCTTCTCTTCATAGAAGCAGCAGGGCAGGCCCTCATATTTCACCCCATCTGTCCTGGGCAAATGGTCTGGGTGAAGGCCATACAGGCCCTGGGAGCTTCCTGGCTGTGACTCCACACCTGTGGGGCCACAGCCCTCACAGAGGGGGGGGCCCAGGAATAAGGTGCTGCCCCCGGCCGCTCCTATGCTGGGCTCCAGTGCGGAGGGCTGGGGCTCGAAGCAGCAGGCACATGAAGGCCCCTCACGGCCCCCCTTCCAGGTCCTCCTGAGGTCTGGGGCGGCCCCAGAAGCCTCGAGCCCCACTTCTGAGGTAGAGCTGTTGGGCCCCCTGTGCTCCAGGGAGGAGTTGCTGCTATAGTTCATCTCCAGGCTGCAGGTGGACAGCTGGTCCCCCGAGGGAGAGGCAGGGCCAGGCCAAGGCTCTCCTCGCCCAGCACCTTGACTGTGGGCTACTGGGAGCTCCTCAGGTGGTGGGGAGCCCTCGAGGTGCACGACAGGCCCCCGGCCTGAGCCCCCCACGTCACTAGTGCGACAGGGGCTCCGGCTGCGATAGATGAAGGGATCATAGTCGCTGCTGAGAGAGCTGCGGAAGGTGGAGCAGCTCCCATACACCCCCTGGTTGCTGACCTCAGTGCAGTCCACCACCGAATCGCTGGAAGAGCAGTGGCACTGGCCGGAGCTGCTGCTGCTGCTGCTGTCGCTGCCTGGGCAGTCAGCCAGGTAGCCACTACACACCGAGCGGTGGCCATGGTAGCAGCTGAAGCTGGACGTGCTGCCACTCTCCAGGTGGGAAGGTGGGGCCATGTGCACCACGGTGGGGAAGAGCAGGCTGCCACTGCCATTCGGGGGAAAGGCACGGGACGGGCCCCTGGGAACGAGGCTAGGTGGGGCCTGACCCTCCTGCTCAGGGTAGCTGAGGCCCTGGAAGTAGTAGTGTTGGTACATGGTCTCATACTGGGAGAAGCAAGCTGCCTTGGAGAAGCTGCGGCTGCTGAACTTGGGCCTGCGGAAGGGGTGGGCTGGTGAGTAGGCCCGGTGCTCTAGGCCACAGCGGTGAGGGGCCAGGGTGTGGTCCTGGTGGAGGGGTGGGTAGCCTCGGATGTAGGTGGGGGTCTGTGGTGAATAGAGGCTCTGTTCCCTGTGCCGGTCCACAGTCAGCAGGGTGACCGGGTTCCCATGGGAGTCCATGCTTGTTCTCGTGGGGTAGGCTGGGATGGCGTTGGTCCTGTGCACGCGGCCGGGGTAGTGCACTGGCAAGATCACCCTCTGCTGCCGGCTGCGTGCAAGGTTGCTGGTCTCCACGCATACAGTGCTTGGGTTTCCCTTTTGCTCTGGGGAGAGGTGGAGGAAACAAAGTCAGCAAGGCTGAGCACAACTGGTGCCAGGGTCTAGAGAGACAGATAAATCAGGGCAAAGACTGCAGCTACAGGGTTGGTCACATGCCAAGGTACCCAGTTTCACGACCCTGACCTGCTCCAAGCTGTCACCAAACTTGGCCGTGCCAGCAGAGACTGACCCACTTCTCTGAAAGGCAGTCACTCCTGTTACGGTTCATCTCCCACCTCCCCACTGCTCCATCTGACAAAGGCACAACAGGAGTTTGCAGAAAGCCACATGGCTACCAAGATGAAAGGCACTGTTCCTCATTGAAAAATAGCTACCTGGAGTGCACCCTGCATTCCAACTCCTATCCAATACCAGTGATGCAGGAGCAACATCACAACCCTACCAATCACAGTCATCATCTCCTATGGTCCAGGAACAACTCCACAGTACCAGGCATGGGCAAGCACTGTTATTGTCTTTCCCTTTAAAGAGATTGTGAGCCTAAGGCCTGGAAAGGCCAGGACTCTGACTCATGTGAAAGCCAAAACTCAAATTCAGGGTGATTCTTCATGCTGGCCTCTCCTAAGAGTTTGGAGGCCTGGTGACCTTCAAAACCTGAGGCGCCTACACCACACCTCCAAGTCCAGACGGCGATGCTGTGATGGTTCTGCTCGCTCACCAGCCTCTAGCAGGTGTCACCCTCTTGCTAGGCACTTGGTAGGGGCAATGACTCTTCAGCAATGACAGAGGTAGGTGACAATTACCTATGATGTTGTGCCGACAATGGGGGCAGGTGTGGTGCTGCAGCAGCCATGGGTCCACGCACTTCCTGTGAAAGCGGTGAGTACAGGGGATAACCCGCAGCTCCTGGGAAGGGAGAGAAGACACACAGGTTGAAGGCAGGGAACAGGTAAGGGCAGTTCTGTCTTCAGCCCCGCATGTGCTTCTCCCTGTGGGGCCCAGCACATACCGAGGAGCCCTCCTCACCATGCCAGTGCCCAGAGGCTCCCTCCCCGCCTCCTCCATCTCTAGCTACAGGTGGGCTCCATTCCCTGGAGTCAGAGCCCACGCATGGGTCCTAGGGAGAAGGAAACAGGGAACCATCCATGGCCCTCAATATTGAGAGAGGAAGCACAGAGAATGGCACATTCATGCAGCACACAGGGGAAGACCAAAGCCATGTGCTAATGCAGATAGATGGGCAGCCTGGGGGTGTGGAGAGAGGACTGGGTACACCCCAGTACCTTTTGCATCTCTGGGATGGTGCTGCCTCTGTGTACTCTAATGGGGACAAATAGAAAGAAGCCCGGGACTTGTGACTGACAGGTGGGGCAGCAAAGGGGCAAAGCTGTCTTATCCTCTCCTTTGCTGGACCCTGCACACTCACCTGGGGGCACGTGATTTATAACAAAGCAGCCTGTGTGGAGAGGAGGTGATGAGGTTTTCTGAGGCACAAGCACCTCTGGAATTCCTGAGCCCAAGCACCCTCCAAACTTGCTAATTTACTTTGTTTTTCCATTCTCTGACCAGCTCAATACAATAATATTCAAACTAATACCTAACACTGAGTCTGACCTTGGCAAAATACCTGTATTTTCTCATATAACCCTGTGATCACCTGGAATGCAGGTCAGTCTTGGGCCCATGTCTTGGGCCAGGATTAGAACCCAGGCAGTATGCATCCAGAGACCATGCGAGACTCTTATTAATGTAAAGGTCTCTGCAAAAACTCCTTTTTCATCCAATAGTCTACAGAGCAGTGGAACACATTCATCAAAGGGCTGTCAAATGTCTGCAACTAATTCTGAAGTGGTTCACTCCCCATACGTGTAGGTATGTATGCCTCAATCTGGAAAGAGATTGAGCAAACACGGCACAATGTTAACAATAGGTGACTCTAGGTAGATGGTACAAGACTCATTGTATGGTTCATGTAACTGTTCTGAAGGCTTGAAGTTTTCAGAATAAGAAACTAGAAGAGAAAAAGGGGACATCGCATCCCTTTTCTCTTTATAAGTAAAAACACCAAATGTTCCACACAACTTTGTAGGAAACGTTTGTATCAAGTCAGATTTTAGACACTTCAGAACAATTCTAAAATTAAGTCAACATGTGAGAATGTTCTTAAAAACAGACATTTTTTTGGCTTTCCATATATTCCTTTTATTTTTTTTTAAAGTTTTAAAATTTATTGATTTTTAGAGAGGGAGGAATAGAGGGAAAGAGGAAGAAAGAGAGAGCCAGAGAGAGAGAGAGAGAAAAACATCGATGTGAGAGAGACACATCTATTGGTTGCCTCCCACACATGCCCCAACCAGGAATCAAACCCACGACTGTGTGGTGCACGGGATGACACTCCAACCAACTGAGCCACAACGGCCAGGGCTGGCCTCCCATATATTTCTGATCAACTTCCAAAATCACCTACATTCAGCAGGATTCTCTGGAGGGAGTGTCTCTGTACCATGGCCACCCCCTTCCAGGGGCAAACAGCAGTTAGAATGTCTCAGGCCATCCCCTTGAGATGTAGGTGTTGAAGCCCCTCTGCTCCTGCAAGGCTGCGGGAAAGGATATGGAGCCCTGTCCTTTTAAGTCCTGTGTTCGGGTGCTGACCTATTTACCTCAACCCCACCCAAGATGGGCCCAGCCTCTGCTGTTACCTCTCCGTCGATGTACTTCTCAAGGCAGATGGCACAGTCAGATGTGGAGCTGCTGCTGAGCGTGTCCAGGGCCCCACAGCTCCCCTCCCGGCGCCCCTTGTTCTTGGAGTTGAACTTTCGGGTTTCCATCTTCTCCAGAGCCTGCACAGCCAGCCTGTTCATGGAATTCTACATGGCAGAATGTGGTCCATGTTAGGGTCTGGCACATATTAACAGTTGTAGTTACCCCAAGGGCCACAGCACTTGATAAATCAGGACAGGCAAATGCTAGTCTTTATTAGGCCAGAGCAGACTTTTGGGAAACTGCTAAAAATTCAGACTGCTACAGCACAGACGTGTCAGACTCCCAAGTGTCCACATCAGCCCAGGCTTTTCCCAGTGGCAGGACCAGCAGAGGTCTACTTCAATTACTCTGCAAGACCCTGCTCTATGTCAAGGGTTCCTCCTTTTTACCCTCAAGAAAGTTCTAAGGGCAAATGAGACAGTGCGCGTGAGGGCTCAATACATGGCAAATCAGACGTGCTCGGCAAACACCAGCCACTGTTCTGTTGGTGATGGCCACTCAGCCCTTGTGAGAACTTGGCGGTCCTACTCTCAACAGATTGCCTGCCAAGGTCCACCATCGCTCCCTTGAGAGAGCACACTGCTACCCATTTGAGAGTCTAGATTTCCGCTTAGCCTCTCATCACCTTCTACCCCCAAATCCTTCCTACACTGATGTGCCAGCTGAGGCACCAGAGTGCCCACTCCGTTTATTGAGAATCACTTAGAAATCGCAGAAGATGGAGATTTAGATTCAGCAGGTCTGGAGCAGGGCCTAAGACTCTGCATTTCTACCAAGCTCCCAGGTGATACTGATGCTGCTGGTCCCCAGATCAACACTCAGGGTTCCACATTAGTATTTAAACATTTCTTTGGGAAAATGTCTGCCTGGCAACACCCCTAATGCTCGGCCTTTGTAGGACTGGACCTTTCAGAACAGAGAAGACACAGTGCTATAAGCTTTGCTCTCATTTTTCTCTGCCTTTGCTGTTTCTAGGCCGTTAGTATTTTCACTAGCGTCAGGGCAGCTGGCACCAACATTCATGGGCTGCTCTGAGGTATTACCTGACTGCGTCGCTGTTTCAGCTTGATTTTGACAAGGAGGATGAGACAGACCAAGGAGACCACGACAAAGAAAGCCAGGAAAATCCCCATGTCAAAGTACTCCGTGGGTTGCTGGAACAGAACACAGACACGAGTCACAGCTCTCCTTAGCCGAAGGTTCGGCGCATGGGCTATGTGGGCTCAGGTAGGGATAAGGACAGGGCAACCGGGGTGCATTATCCTCATCTGCAGGGAACACATGGGGTTCTGCTAACACGCACCCAGCGTGCTATTCAGGCCCAGGCAGTACCCTCCAGTGTGGCAGGGGGAGGCCTGCGGCGATCTCAGCAGGCCTCCTAACAGCCGAGAGAACTCAGTTCACAAAGCCTCGCTCCCTGTGGAACAGTGCAAAGTTCGCTATAACCGGTAGGAGAGGCCCTTCCAAATAAACACAAATATCACATTTTTGGGACAAAGGAATGAGTGTCATGTTTTGAGGGAACAGTGATTACTAACCATATAATTAATGGTTTACAACAACTCAGAAAATTGTACGCTGCTTCCACAAATATCAGCTTCCACTACAATGAGTCATATTTACCAAAGCGCTCTTTTTTCCTTTAAAAAGAAGCCAGCATGTCAGCTCTTCTGCAAACTCCCTCTAGTTTTAGCTCTTACCTTTCCTCATGTCTCACTGTCTCCTAAGACCTTGAAGTCACCTCATCTAGGACATGCCTTCACCAATAGGAAAAGAGTTTTGCTAACTGAATGCTGCAGGTATCCAGATATTATGTGCATGGAAAAGAATCATCCTAGACGTGACTATCCCGATATTTGTGAGGAGGAAATAAACCAGATATGGGGCACCTGTCCCAGGTTCCTAGAATCTTCAGAGGTTTGGGCAGAAGATGCCGGACAAGAGTTAATGGTCAGCAGTGTCAGCACACTTAAGAGAAGCCTTAAATACTATTCATTACCACCTAGAAGTCATGAACTCCAATCCCAGTTGAAAGCTAACTTTTCCAGAATCAAATATCAGGGGGTTTTAATGACGCAATTGACCCCACAGAAGAAGGAAGCCCTGGCTTTTTTCTCTAGTCTAGGTCACATGGAAGGAGGAGACATGGGAAGCCCAGTGCTGGGTATCCCTTCCCTTCAATCCTCCTCAGTTAGCCTTTCAGAGGGAGATGGGACAGAAGAGAAAGAAGAGTTTCCCAAGAGGGAACACTGGGTAGAAGAGACCAGAGAGGTTTTAGCACAAATCAGCTATTGCTGACAGGACTTCTCAAATCCCTGCTAAAGGAATAGGCAGCCGTTTATCTGACCTAAACCTACAGGAACCTGAGGTGTATCAGCATTTTATCAGAAAGAAGGAACGAACAAAAGCCCAAAGCCTAAAGGGAATAAAGGTTCAGGCTGCAGCAGAGAAGGGGCTGCATGGCCGGCCAGGGTGGAGGCTCACTCGAGGGGGGCGGTGCTGAATCCTTGCTCGAGCCACTTTCTGTTTGTTGACGATGTTCATCAGCTTGATGGCATCTGCGCCCTTGACATACACCACCGGCCTCTTGAGCGGGTCTTCCGAGCCCTGGTTTAGCTAAGGAAGAAGAGACGCTCCTGGTTAGAAGATGTGCTTACTTTAAGAAGCAGGAGAGAAAAAGGAAAAGGACACTAAATACCCATTTGGAAATCATCAAACTCCTTAAGCATTACAGAATTGGAGCTCCCAGATGGCAAGGCTGAGGATGATGCTTGTTCTAGGATGGACTAGGCATACTGAAGGGTCTTTGGAGATGTCCCCCAAACCCCAACTTTCCTGGCTTTTAACCCCTCTCAATAGTCTTGCCTTGGAGTATGATATCCAAGCACGGATAACTAACATTGGCAGACAAGTGCAAAGGCCCTGAGATGAGGGTGACGTGACTATGACAAGCCAAGCTAACTAAAGGCAGTGCTTCTCTCAGGAAAATGCAGTGTTGGTGTGTCCTGAGGAGTTTACCTGGTCGATAGCTTCTGGGTTTTCAGACACATCAAAGATGACTGCAGTGGCTCCCCGTTGCACTGCTCGCTTGGCCTGGCAGAATAAAAAAGAGCAGGTTGACATTCTAGTCCTCTTACCTTTCCAAAGCTGGCCTTGGAAATAAGACCTATATTCAAATACAGAATCTGACAGTTACCAACTTATGTGACTTTGGGTAAGTTACTAACTTTCCTAAGCCTCGGCTTTCCTACCTGTATAAAAAGGGGCAATGCCACCTACCTTAGGGTTCTCCTGAGATCCAAATGAATTAGAATAGGTGAAAATAAAAAACTGGGTACTCAATTAACCTTTGTCCCCTATACAGCTTAACTAAACATTAAAACTAAGCTACAAACCAACAACCTGCCCAGTCAGCATAAAGGTATTGGTTTCAGTATTTTCTGCTATGAACACAGAGCCACTGGCAACCAAAGCAAATGCCTCTGGTCCCTCTCTTGTGGTCCTTCTCTCTTCCCATGTCACCCAGCACTGCAGTTAAAATAGCCTATGGAATACTTCTGAAGGAATCTCAAGATGGTCAATTTTAATAACTGACGCATGATGAAGACCTTTGGAGACACTGTCACGAGGGAAAAGCTACAAGAAATAATTGTAAATGGGGATTTAGAGCAGTTGGCTGCCAAACCTGGCTGCACATCAAAAACCACTTGGGAAGTTTGTAAAGCAGATTTCCTGGCTCAAACCACAGAGACTGATTCAGCAGGGCTGGAGTAAGGCCCAGGAAACTGAGTTCTGAAAGTTTTCTGAGGGATTCTGATGATTTAACCACTTGGGAAACTATTGATCAGAGAGATGAGATTAGAATGTTTTAGGAACAAATGAGAAGTGGTGAGATTCTTTTTTGGGGAAAAGGGTTCCTTTCCATCCCAACATACCTTCTAATTTTCTGTCCAGCTAAGTGGACAATGGGGTAGAAGCTACAGAAGAAAAAGACATAAGACATAACTTTTGCTTTTAGAAACCCTAGTCTTTTTAGGGAAGTAATACAACCTCTAACACAAGGGGAGGGGAGGGGGGAGTGACAAAGACCAAAACTTCCTATAAGATGGGCAAATGATGGCTAATGCTTAGAGGTCAAGATAGTCCCTAGGGCCAGGGTGCTTAAGAAAGAATATAATTTGAATTTCTTCCATAAGAATAATCACTCTAAGCCCTGGGCAGTAGTAGCTCAGTAGGTTAGAGCATCATTTCAATCCCCAAGGTTGAGGGTTCGATCCCCAGCCAGGGCACAATGAATGCATAAATAAGTGGAACAACAAATCAATGTTTCCCCCGTGCCCCCCCAAATCAATAAATTTTTTTTAAAAAAGAATCATCACTCTACATGGGTGCAATATAACTGGGTGAGAATGTGACTAGACCAATGGCTCCACCAGCCCACTAGAGGGCAGTCTTATCCCACTGTTTTTACAACAAGTCCCTTCCCTGTGCTTTGTATTGAACAAGCAGGACAGTGAAATCCTCAGGGATATTGCAAAGTCCCCTTCAACTAACAAACTCGGGCACCCTGGGTGCTGCAGAAGCTGTCTTAGTTCTGCTGAGGGCTCTCTCTTGTTGATCTGAGACCCAATTTATTACTTTTAAATACATAAAGTCTCCTATGCCATTTGTTCATCCCACCCCATTTCATCACCACGCTGCAATCAGGAGTGACTGAACTGCTTTCAGCTTCAGCCTCAGTTTCCCCACCTGTAAAAGGACACAGCCTATGTCATTAAGACCAGGGCCCTTTCCAGTTCCAGTCTTGGGCACTCAACTGACTGTCCAGAGCAATGGGGAAAGAGCCGGAGTTGTCCTATCACCTGCCTCCAACAGGAGAGGGCAAGATGGCACAGTGGAGTCACTTTCCTCCATAAAGCTCTTTAGGGGCACAGACTTCTTTGACTGCAGCCAACAGCTCATGGACCCCAGAATAAGTTAGTGCTTGTGTCTTTCACACTCTCCCAAGATGTAGAAGCGCCCCAAGGAACAGCACCAAATGTGAGGTAATAAACAGGACCTCTCATTCCTTTATTTGGCTTTCATTCCACGATCAAACACATCAAACAGCACCTGAGGGGAATGTGCCTCCAGAAGCATCTTGATCAGGAGCACCTCGCACCTCCCGCTTTGATGCCGGCGCACCTGGAGAGTCTAATGGCTGTGGGACAAAAGCCTGCAAGATTGGGGAAATGTAACGCCTTCAGCCACGTGGCTTTCAGGCTTCCCTGCTCCACAAGAACGTGGAAGTCTTAGAGCTTTGGTGGTGAGGCAATGGCCCACTTGGGCAGGCACTTTCAAAAAGACATTTTAAGCATAATCTAGGAGGGTGGCCAGTCTCCTGGTTTCTACAGTGAAGAGAGCAGGTCAATATTAAGGTGCTTAAATCCCATTTATAACCTGACTTCAGAAACAACCAGGCTCATGAATGGGACCCAAGCACAAATATTTAGTTTGAGAACATGATCCTTCTCACAGTTGACTTAACTTTAAAAATCATGTTTAATGTAAGCTGCTATTAAAAATAAGGCTGCATTTCTGCATATACCAGGACTGAGCAGGGTCCTCCTGGGAACTTGATTGTTAAGAGCTGGCTCAGGATTTAAAATAGGCCACAAATAACCCGTATTTAGAAAATGACACATGTATTATACTATTCTCAAAGCAAATTAAAAAACACAGAACACTACTTGGTCACACTTTCCCCTCGCCACGTTTTCAGTTTGATTGATGATACATATTCCTTAAACCGATCTTCCTATGTTAAATCATTTACCATTTTACCTAGTCAAGCTTGGGCCAGACCATTTTAAAACCAATCTTAACCATAGTTGGGAGACTACCAGTCTTTTGATTGCCAGAAATCCTATCTTTATAACACCTAAAATTCTCAAGGTAAGAAAGGATGGGAAAGATGCAGCCTGGAGGATGTTGCTAGATGAAAGTCCCTGGAACACTGGGCAACACTAGCAGAGGGCAGTTTCCACTGGACTGTGCACAGAAGGGAACAGAAAAAAGAGTATGAGAAGGGTGTGAACCGCAGAAAACAGGTGGGGAGTCTCAGCAAGTCCTTCCAGAAGCAGCCAAAGGCTTTGCCTTACTGACCTCTGCATGCCCTTCCCCTCCACCCCACCCACACAGGTATTTTTCTCATCTTTCATCAGCTTTGCTGCTTTGATCAGGCCAGGGCAGGTCGGCACCAGCCAGTAGGTGACCAGAAGCCCAGCAGCAGAATGTAGAATAAAAGGCTGTCAAGGTTCTTTATTTACCTTTCCAGGCCTGCAAGGCCCGAGGCTAGACAATGCCCATAGCCACTGAAACAAGTATCAAAAGTGCAAACATCTGCACACTTATAGTTTGTAAAGTACACAATTTCAAGCCCTAGAAGACAGGGTCCTACTATGGTTGGCACTTACAGCAATGCAAGACCCCCATGATTATTCAATAAATGTTTATTCTAAATGAAAGAAAGCCTCTCTGAGACCATACTCTTGGGTTATTGCTCCCTGAATGTGAATGTGGTTTTCCCCAAAGAAGTGCTTATATCAATCTGATTGACTCTTAAATTTCTAGATGTGAACGGGGCATTCTGATGATAGTATTCCTGTTGCTACCTGTGGATGGGAAAACAGTCTAGAGACTGCTTTAGTTTTAATTAAATTCAGGAATTCCAATCAAGAATGGATCTGGCACTCTCGGTATACTCAGACTTAGTTTGGGGCTGGGTCCCACTCTATATTTACTCCCTGGAGGCCCTGGGCACGGACTCCAGTTTTCTTTTCTTTTTTTCAAATTCTCACCTGAGGATATTTTTTCCATTTCTTTTCAGAGAGAGGGGAGGGGGGAGATGTGAGAGAGACACATTGATTGGTTCCCTCCCGCACACACCCCAACCAGGGCCAGGGATTGAGCCTGCAACTGAGGTACGTGCCCTTGGTCGGAATCAAACCTGGGACCCTTCAGTCCTCAAGCCGATGCTCTAACCACTGAGCAAACAGGCTAGGGCAAGAGGCCATTGTTCACCTGTTATTTCTTTGTCAAGCACTGAATGTGTTGTCCCCAGTGCCTAATCTTTATTGTATGAAAATTTTGACAAAATACAGCCTTAATGGGAAATAACACAAGAGATGACTAAAAATGTCCTTTGTCCCAAACTCCTAACCATGGGAAAAGCAAGGAAACTGGAGTGTTAGCACTGATATGAAGACATGGGTCTTCAACCTCTTACAGGAAGTTCTGATATATAGGGGCTCCAAGTAGACTTTTTTTTAATTTCATTCTATTGAATACAATTTTTGTGGGGGTTTTTTGTTGGTTGGTTTTTTCTGCACTTATCATAAGCTTCCAACAAGTCATTAAAAATTCTTTGTAAATATTTTAAAGGCTGTGATATACCCCTTCACATACTCTACTTACGCATGTGTTTTAGATATTTGGGCTATTTCAGATTTTTATATTAACACTACATTAAATAAATCTTAGCTTACATTTTCAATTTCCTTAGGGTGGAGGTCCAGAGCCAAAGAATATGAAGATTATTAAGAATCTTAATATTATTCACATAGGATTTTAATGCCCCTCCTTATAAACTCACACAACTCAATTTATCTGCAGTAATGACAAGAGAGGATGGCACAGGCAATACAAGACAAATTTATAAAGAGATTTAACTTTTGGGTAAACTGACCTGTTGGTAAGCTGGCTAGGAGAGGGAAGTCAGTTTGTTAGTATTCTGCATGATACTTTACATGCAGAAAAGATAATCCAGAGTGAACTATGAGTTGGTCATACCTATCCTACTGATTCAAGGTCAAGTTCATGTGCAACCCCTCCCATAAGACTGACAAGTACTTCTCTTTAGTCAAAACAGCTCTTATCCCTTTCTAAGCTCTAATATCTCTAAGGATTTCTCCTCTGCTTACCACTTTCTGTGATGCATTTTCCCCCAAATATGACCATCTTTAGTGTTTTTGCTACTTACAGAAGTAATATGTGCTCAATGTGAAAATTTTAATACAGCAGGTCCTTGAATGACATCATTTCGTTCTAATGTT